AATGCTGTCCCATCGGTGGACTATGCTATTATTGAACCCTAGAGGGTTTCTGACCTGACTGTTTTAGCCCAAGAGTCACATAAAACGCTGTTGAATTCAGGTTTGAAAATACATCATGGAAAAATAAAAATAACAAAATATCGAGAAAAAGTATGATAATGTTTTGGACTGAAATTATTCAGCTGTTTAATTTTTATGATTTTATGAGAAACAGGTTCAATGATTAATTGAAATAATATATATATATATTTTTCATTTTAATAACAAATATTTAAACATAAAACTTGAATTAGTTAAAGCAGTTTGGGCAGTTTTACTTCACAGTAGGCCCGGCATGGCCAGGTGGTTAGGGGCGCTCGACTCGCAATCTGAGAGTCGCGGGTTCGAATCTCCGTCACACCAAACATGCTCGTCCTTTCAGCCGTGGGGGCGTTATAATGTGACGGTCAATCCCACTATTCGTTGTTAAATAAGTAGCCCAAGAGTTGGTGGTGGGTGTTGATGACTAGCTGCCCTCTAGTCTTACACTGCTAAATTAGAGACGGCTAGCGCAGATAGCCCTCGTGTAGCTTTGCGCGAAATTAAAAAAAAACAAAATTATTTCACAGCAAATGTTTTAAACTAGTTTATTGTTTTGATTAATTCAATTAGTTTACCTAGCTATATTTAAAAAATACTAAACAAAATTGGAACGAATCATACGATAAGGTGAATTCATATATATACTGAAAGAGCTCAAAACCTACGAGAAAGAAGTTTGTTTATCCTAAAGCAAAACCATATTGGGCTATCTGCTGTGTCCATCCATCGCACGGAATCGAATCCTTAGACATACCGCTTGTTTGTTTCTTCTGAATTTCACGTAAAACAACACAAGGGCTATCTAATTTAATAGTGAAAGACTAGAGGGAAGGCAGCTAGTCATCATCACCCACCGTCAACTCTTGGGCTACTCTTTTACCAACGAATGGTGGAATTGAACGTCACATAATAACGCCCCCACGACAGTAAGGACGAGCATGTTTGGTGGGACGGGGATTTGAACCCGCAGATTGCGAGTCGAGCGCCATAACCACCTGGCCAGACTTTCCGCTGTCCCTTTGGGGGACAGAAAGAAGTTATGTGGGTCGTAATGACAGATTTGGAAAAAAGGATTTCAGTCATTTAAGACACCTCGATTTACTTAAGGTATGTTTTATCATAGTTGAACATACCCTAAATAGGGCTGAAATTTTGTTAGCGCCTTTTCCCTTTTTAGGTTCCACTTAAAATATTTGTCTTTCTGAATTACATTTCTGTATTGCTAAACATTTGTCCACTATTTTAAATAAAGTTTCCCATTTTTAAATAAACTTCTATAAAATATTGGTATACTTTTCTATAACAATACGTTAATAAGATACACTGGACTTTAGTATAACTATAGAATATGCTAGTTTCCCTTTATGTTTTTTATGGTGGTTCGAAACTTTCAAAGCTATTGAAATTATGTGATTGTTAATTGCCTTAATAGATGGCGCTACAACTGAATCTTCAGAAAAATGTTGGACATTTTGAAAAAAAAAATTGTATCAAAGCGTTTTAGTCTCGAAAAAAATAGCATCATTAAGATTGATGTTATATGTCGAAAGTTAACTTAGAGAAAATTTAAAGAAATTGTCATTCAGAACGTGAAAATAATATGTAAAACTATAATCAAGCACGTCGTTACGAAGCTATCTATTTTTGCCAGTGCACAGTGTTTGTTTGTTTGTTTCAGAATTTCGCGCAAAGCTACACGAGGGCTATCTGCGCT